ATAAACATCACAGACAAAGCAAAAGCACACCTTATCTTCCCTTTTTGGCATCATCGAAAAGTGGTATAATTAAGTTAAGTAACTAGATTTTAACAAATATTACTTATGGCCACTGAGGCTACTTCAAATGCAATCATGAATTCAATATTCTGTTTTTCAATCTAAGGATATTAGCCATCTAAGAAATATCAACATCAAATAATTTGAGCAAAAGAAGTGAATTTTATTGATTGATAAGATCCTACCACAAAGCATAATAAGAAATAAAAATATAGAAACATGAGCAAAAGATAGAGAAATTCCACTTGGGTAATAAAATGAACTGGCTACAATTGGGTTAGGAATGGTTTAGGACCAGGAATGATCAGATTCTTGGTTCTTGACTTGAAACAGCTTCAGCATATCTTGAAAAATGCCATTATTGTTCTCCTTCTCCTTTGCAATCTCAGATTTAAGAGAGTCTCTCTCAGCTTCCACTTCACCCAACCATTTTTTTCAGCCTCTCAATCTCTGCATCCTTAATTATTTTCTTCCATTATTTGAGCCTTCTTGCTCCTTTTGGCAGACCTAATTCTTTTAGATACAATTGAACCCTTTGTCTCGGTCCCTGTTTCTTGAGACTTCTTTTGAGAAGTCTTTCTCCTTTTTAGCACTAGGTATGGGTACATTCACATCCCCATCTTCATCTTCAAGAATCAGGTCCATCTCCTCAATCTGGACCACTCCACTTGGCTTACCAGCCTTTTTCTTTTCTTTCAAAGTGGCTTTCTTAACACTGTTAGCTAAAGCCTTTTTTACATTGGCCTCACTCTACTTCTTATGTCTCCTTGTAATGTTGCTAAAGGTATAGAAAAAGCTATCTTTCTCTTAGTGCCACATATACCTTTTTACTGGAGTCCTTCCAACTTTGCTCTTCTTCTTTAGATTGTAACAACCTGACACCTTTTGCAGCAAATCATGAAGAGGCTCTTGTCTATTTTTAGCAAGAGAAGGAATTGATTCATGAAATTATTTCCTTAAACCATTCCCTCTGTTGCATTTCAATCACCAGAACCATCACATATCTCATGTGATTCTATCCCCATACTTTTTGTAACGATCCGATCGATCGTTTTATGTATTTGAGTCTCATTTCTCCTTTTGATGCTTCACACATATGTATTTATAATTTTATGACGTTCGGAGTTGGTTAGCTTCGTTTCGGGAATATTTTGGGTTGATTTGGACCCTTTGGTTCTTGGCTTATGAGCCTAAGTTAGAAATGTTGACCAAAGTTTGACTTTTGTAAAAATAATCCCGAAAAGGTATTTTGATGGCTCCGATAAGTTCGTATTATAATTTTAGACTTGGGTGTATGCTCGAAATTGAATTCGGAGGTCCATGGTTGATTTGACTTATTTTGCGAAAGTTAGCAATTTGTGGTTTAAAATATTTTTCCAAGTTTGACCATAGGTTGAATTTTTGGCTAATGGGTTCAAAATTTGGTTTTGGAACTTGTTTGCAAAATTTGGTGTTATTTGGAGTTTATTGATACGATTCAGATGCTTGGTTGCAATTCTAGAGGTTCTTGAACTTTTCTTTGAAATTCATGCGTTTTGATATACGATTCGTAGTTCTGGATGTTATTTTTGTATTTTGAGAGTGTGTTTGTATGATATTTTTAGACTTGTGTGGATGTTTGATTTGGAGCCCCAAGGGCTCGGGTGAGTTTTGATATGTTCCTGAAATGTTTAGACAGAAAATAGGTTGTTGGTGTTGCAGTTATTACAATTATGAGAACCAGTTTCGCAATTCCGAACATGATAGGGGGGACTCAGGTGTCGCAATTGCGATATCTGTTTTGCATTTGCGAAGTCTAGACTTAGTTAGGGTAGGTCGTAATTGCGACCTTTTTGTCGCACTTGCAAGGAAGGTAGACTTCGTAATTGCAATACCTCCTTGGCTTGACAGTTCCCGCATTTGCGAGTTTTGCTTCACAATTGCTAGAGTTCGCAATTGCAAACCTAGTATAGTAATTGCGACATCTGCAACTAAACAAAAGGTTGAAAAGTCGGGATTTCATCTTATTTTCTCTCATTTTAGAACCCTAGACTCGATAGGAGACGATTTAGAGAGGGAATTTTTATCTACAAACTTTGGGTAAGTGATTCTAATCAATTTTTAACTATATTTCATGATTACATCTTATATTTAACATCAAATTTATGAGAATCAAAGAGGAATTTTGGGGATTTTTGTTAAAGTTTTGAAAAATGAGAATTTGGATTTTGAGAGTCGATTTGGACACGGATTTGAAAACAAAATACATATATGGACTCGTGGGGTTATGGATAGTCGGAATCTACCTTTGGACCTGGGTTTTGACCGGACGGACCTGGGGTTGACTTTGTTGACTTTTCAAAAAATTTGTAAAGATCATAACTTTATCTATCGCAGTTATTTTTCCTTGCATTGTTTGATGATATAAAGTCATTTTTTGTCAGATTTGAGCCGTCTGGAGGCGAATTTTAGGGGAAAAGCTATTTTCGAGATTGATTTGGCCTAGTTGAGGTAAGTATCTTGCCTAACTTTGTGTGGGGGAACTACCCCTTAGGATTTGGGTTGATTGTGTTATTTGAATTATGTGTAAGATGTGTACATGAGGTGAAGATTGCATACACGGGCTCATATGTGATATTTTGACTGGTTTAGACTTCTTCCATGTATTTAATTAAAATCATCACAATATATATCTTTCATTGTTAAATTTACTCTCACATGCTCTATTTGACGTTGTTAGCACTTGTTCTATCTTTTATTGTTGTATTTGCTGTTACGTGTCTAGGATGACATATGTGAAAGTTCTAATTTAAAACTTAAAATGAAGAAAAAAAAAAAAAAAAAAAAAAAAACCTCTGCCAACACATAAGAGAACAAAATAATCAGATCGCTACAACGTAACTGTTATATGTATTGAGGCAAACCTCTGGTTGTCTCGGTTTGCCTTTTCTTTTCTGAGATTGTCAGTTCCTTCTGTAATTTGGATACTTAAGCTTTTATGCATGAAAACCAAATAGTTTTAGCCAAGAATAATATGCCACTGCTCATAGTTCTGCCATATTTAGTAATGCCTAGTAAAGAGAAATAAGGCACCAGTGGTCTAGTGGTAGAATAGTACCCTGCCACGGTACAGACCCGGGTTCGTTACCCCGCTGGTGCATATCTTTTTCTTTTGTTGCCTCATGATAAATGAGAGAGCAAAAAGTAAAGCGCCCACCGTGGGGCTCGAACCCACGACCACAAGGTTAAGAGCCTTGCGCTCTACCAACTGAGCTAGACGGGCTTGCTGTTTGTATTGCTGTGATAAGCAAATTTATTAATCTTGGCATTTCACAGCGAAAGCATTACATTTTGGCTTTCTACACTAAGGAACTATGAATAAATGTATTGGTTAGTGCCAATGTGGATAAGTTAATCAATCCATTGTAACCACGGGTCCAAGGTTGCTTGTTAATTAATAATAACGAAACCCCTCTATCTCAAAACTTCTTTTTCATTTGCTTATCTTGTCTCGATCCACCATGGGTTGATTTTCATTTAATCATAAAATGAGATATCATTAACTGATTTGTTAAAATATACTTCCTCTATTTCAATTTAGATGAGGTTGTTTGACTCGGCACGAAGTTTAAGAAAAAAAGAAGACATTTAAAATTTGTGGACTTAAAAGCTTTATGGGGTCATGACATTTGTGTGGTTATAAAAACTTCTCATCAAAAGTAAAATGAATAATCTAAAGTTGATTTATTTCCATATTTAAAAATATGTCATTTATTTTGGAACGGACTAAAAGAAAAGTACCTCATCTAATTTGAAACGGAAGGAGTATGAATTTATGGGCTAAGAGCCCGTTTGGATTAGCTGATTTGAAGTAGTTGATAAGCATTAAGTGCTAAAAAGCACTTTGAAGTGCTGAAACTGATTTAATAAATAAGCAGTTACATGTTTGGGTGCAAGTGCTGGAATTGATGATAAGTTGCTGCAGTATTTGATAAAAAAGTGCTGATAAGCTCTTTTTTTGTTAAAATAACTTAAATGACTGTTTACACTTATAAGGGCATAATCTCTTTAAAATTTAGATTCAAGATTGATTCAAATACAAAATATTTTATTTGTTATTTTATTTTACATACAACTGTGCTTAGATAAGATAAATTTTATGATAAATATAATTTATTTTATGATCGCATATAATCATACGTTATAACAATTAATAGATTGACAAAAGTTTCTTAGTAAATAAAAATAGGACAAAATATTTGAAGAGAAACAAATATTGTCTTCATCACCACAACACTAAGAAAATAATATACCAAAAATTTGATGTCCTTATTTGTTACATACAGTTCAAAGATTAATACACAATCACATAGATATAAATATGCGAAGAAATAGAGAATTTGCTTATCTTAAATAGTCAATGAGAATTGCAGTCTTGAAGAGGCTCAGGGGGGGGGGGGGGGGTTTAGGTTGAAAAAAATACTTGGGACTATGAGTATGGATGTAGGAATTTTATTTTAAAAAGGAATATTTTAAGGATAAAATAGTAAAAACCTTGGTCAAACTAAAGTGCTTATAAGCTAAAAATTCATAAGCTGGGGGTGACCAGTTTATGGCCTTTGGCTTATTTTTGACTTATAAGCACTTGGCTTATAAGTACTTTTAACGTTACCAAACGCGTAGATAAGCCGAAAAGTGCTTATAAGCTAGTTTGACCCGCTTATAAGCTTAGCCAAACACCCTCTAAAAATACTTCAACCATTTTTTCCCCTTGATTATACGATATGTATAACAAACAGTCAAAACTCTAGAAAACAGTTGACCATCATGTGAAAAACTGTTTTTACATCAATCTCTCGACTACAATATATGCATTTTTCACGAGATGAATTGCAGCAAAAATACCGAACAAGGAAAGTGAATATGAAAGACCAAGATATAAATTTCTACACCTACTAGCAAAAAGATATTCCTCAAAAGTACTATTTTCTTGCGTAAGATACAAATTGGGAATCTCAGCCACGTTAAGGCAGCACCGATTGCTCTAGAAACTTTGATTCACTTAGCCGGAGAACTTGATAATAATAGAGGACTCTTTTCTTCAGGATATTTGATAAAAAGGGCAGCAGAAGCCAAGATCTCTTGTTTTAATCCCAAATTCTTCATAAGAAAATCCAACTCCCTCTTGATTGTAGCCTCTGAGAGAGTTAAACAACAAGCTACATTCTGAACCATGGTAATTATTTCTTGATAACCATTCTAACCATGGTAATTATATCCTGGTTAACTCCTGAAAATTGCAAACCTCTTCCTTAAAAGAGGCTCACTGATCTGAGCAAAGACTATAAAGTCCATAGAAGAACATGGCCGAGTTACAATTGAGAAATGCCAAACTGAATGGAGAATATAGAACCTCCCAGTTTTTGTGGTTTCTCATTTTTCAGAACTAACGAATTAGGTATACTATTAGGTAATCACTAAAAGGTGATGGAACTGGGGTACTGAAAGATGATCGAGACACTGCCCAACGGCCCACATGTTGTGAAGAATTAGATGGTCTACTATGATGGACTCTACCAAACTGACCCCTACCTCCAGATGAAGTACCACTAGAACTACCAGAACGACGAGGTCTCTTATCTCTTCCCATAGCCTCTCGTCCCTGGCTATGAATACGCACTAATCCAAATGTTAACGGAAAGAAACAATATATTTTTGCTTTCTCTAGAAAACATGTAGGTTACTAGGAAGCAAATTAAGTTGGAAATGAAAAAACAAAAAGGCAATGATATTTTTGCTCTATCAGGACAGAAATGATTTTTGGCAACACGGACTATATTTTTCAGAATACAAACTGAAAAAAGAAGAGCAAAAATTGTATTGGCCTACAACTGATAATTTTAAGAAGAAGCCACAGTTTTGTTGTGTGATTCATACAATTCAGGTATCTGATCCTTGTAGGGCAGCACAAAATACTCTATGAACTTCAACTCTGTTAAGCTCAGAACATAATAGAGATCCAACTTTCTCCTCTCAACCTTCTTTTCATCCAAAATTTTCAAGACTTGCACCCGAGGTACCACCCTTTTTTCCAAACTATAGACCAAAATTGAAGGATGAGAAGCCAAATAAGCAGGTTCAAACCCGAGCTCCTTCATGTAAATATTCAATGCTTTCTTAATCTTAACCTCTGAGAGTGCTACACAATAAGGTAATTTCCTGAACATGACGAGTATATCATCATCAGACCATCCAAAACTCTTGAAAATTTCAATCTTCTTTTCCAACCTAGACTTCTTTTGCGAGGCTAACGTATGAAATCCATAAGGAAAAATAGGGGAGTTAAGAGGAACCTGAAAATCCTTCTCCACCCTATGCAATAAATCCTTAACCCACTCAGTCTTTTGTGTAATGCACCTAGGATTCCTAAGCACAAGTGTTTTTATTTTCACATCAGAAACACCACAGTTTCTCAACAACAATACATTAGACTCCATAATATGATAAGCACCAAAAGAAAGCAACCATGGAGTTCTCTTTATAGCCTTAACTACATTTTCATCAGTGCCCAAAGTTCTCCTAAGACAGTCAATAGTAGGTCTCAAATGAGTAACTAAACCTCTTTCAACAATTGTTGTATCTTTAGTGATTACATTCACCAGGTCCGACCCGGATAACCCGAGATCCATAAGGCACTGGAATTTGGGTTTTAGGGTTTTGGGAAAATCATAGAATAGCAATTTGGGTGCTCTAGAAACTAATTTTTTCATCTGGGTATCGTCCAAACCGGTTTGTTTCAAGAAATTGAGGACTAAATCGGGATTTTTTAAGGATTTCCATGAAGTTACCTTGGAAGATGTAGAGGTTGCTTCTTCTTTGGAGAATCCTAGAGAATTAACCAGGTATTTCACCAAGAAATGTGTCGCGGCAGGAGCTGGGGTTGCACTTGACGAGTAAAAATATTGAGATACAGCTACTGATTTGCCTCTGAATCTGACGAGCATTTCGTTTAGCTATTGTTGTTAAGGATTTTGCAAGAGTAGAAAATACTTCTTCTACCATTAACAGAGAGTTGATGGGTTTAACTGTTTAGATATTTAGTTCGAAAGAAATGGTCTTAATCTGCAACCCGTTAATATTGTCTCAACTTGCACCACTCACACTGCTAACAATTGCACCAGCTAGCCACTTTTCAGACAATCTTTTAAAAATAACCAATGTCTGAAAGTTCATTAAAACGTCGTTACCTTTAATGCGGAAACACTATGACAGAAGATTCCAAAGTAAAAATCCAAAATCCTGTCTTGAATTTGAAGCTTTATTTTGAGGAATTTTCAGAAATGATTATTGTTTAGTGGCTATTAACTTCCTATAACTATCATATGCATAATTACTTTCCGCAGCTACCTTTCAGTTGTTATGGTAATGTATTTGATGTATTCGAGCTACTGTATTCATGAATACAGTAGCAAAAATCGGCTAAAAAACAGGGCAGTCCAGCTGTCAGCCGCTGTATTCACATGTATTCATACCATGTATTCATGAAAATAACATAATAATATGTCTCTTCAGTTGTTTAATAACGGAAAGCTGCTAATTTAACAGGATACACTCCTAATATAACTCACCTAAATCAATTATAACACACAACATTATCAATCCAATTAATGAAAAGATTTATCAGACGCTAAACACCAAAAAATAGAGCATTCTTCAGAGTTTCATTCCCTCTTTTTTTCTGATACAGTTCGAATTTTTTTTCTTTTGACATTGTTCGTTGTATTCAAGGTTATTTTTGTATTCACAATATTTTATTTATTCGTAATACATGGTATTACTGCTTTATTGAGTATATTTCATTGGTTGTATTCATTGATTTTCTATTTGTATTGAGAGTATTTTACTGTATTTCATCGTATTGTTGTTTTTAGAGTCATCAAAATGAGCTTGGCCCGTGAGGCCAGCCCAACCCATCTCGCTACTTGGGTAGGGCTGGGTTGGGATGTTTTAGTCCATTTAAAATTGAGGCTTATAAGCCGGCCCAAGTCAGTCCGCTGGCCCTTGAGGCTTGACCGAGGCTGTGCCTGGGCCGGCCCGTGGGCCAAAAATTAATTATATTCAAATTTAAATATTTAAAAGAAGTAAAAACTAAAAAATAATATTAACTATAATCCCCATTTTCCAACCTTAGATTGCTCATTTACCCTTCCATATCAACTAGAATTTATATTTTTGATATGCATGTAGTATGACAAAATTAGTTTTTCTTTTGCTTAATTAACAACGAACTAGGAAAGTTTTAAGTGACCAATAATATTTTTTTTCAAAAGAAAATATTATTTTAAGTGGCCAATGATCATTTTGGTTACTTTAATATATTATTAATTATTAAATCGGTCTTTAGTATAGAAAAAGGTCAAGTTTTAATACCCAAAAAGTTGACAATACTAGCAAATTTCATGAATTTTAAAAATTTTATGAACTATAATGATAAAATCGACAAATAATGTTAAGCCTAAATTAAAAAACCTTAACATATAAACTTATTGAAGCAATTTCTGAACCTAAGGAAAGTGAAAGAAAAGTACTAACAAAAATATTCATGTAACATTAAAAAAAAAAAGAGCTAGAGATATAGAAAATTTACATTTCAATTACGAGATTCCTTGCCAAATATCAAGATTCTTGTACACTCTAAATAAATAGAAGTCGTTCATATGATCAAGAGATTATATCACGAAAAAATATCTTAAGATTTGGAGAAATATTCTTTTCTAAAAAGTTGAAGGGCCGGCCCGCCCTAGCTCGCGGCCCTCTTAGGGCTGGGCTGGGTTGGCCATTTTAAGACCCATATAGATGGATGGCCGGTCCTCCCTAGCCCACCAAATTTAAAAGCCCACGAGGCTTCGGCTGGGCTAACCCGTTTTGACAGCTCTAGTTGTTTTAAATACGGAAGGATACAGTTATGTTGAAAATATAGATGAATATAGTTAGAACTAACAATGTATTTAAAAAATAATATTGTATGAACTCAAATACATATAAATACATCCAAATACAACAGTCAAAAGTCACTGTACAAAATAAAAATTAGTGTATGCCTTATTGAATACATATAAATACAAGAAGAGAAAACCACTGAACAATAGTTATTTCTGAAAATTCTTCTAAAAACTTCCAAGCTACGCAGAAATCAGAACCTCTTTAGCTTTCTAGTCTTCGTTCCCCTAAACTAATCAACTCTTCCGTTGGAATGTCAACCGGCCACCAGAATTGCAAAGTTCGTGATAGATACAATAGAATACCTTTTAAGAATATGAAGGCATGTGAATGCTTTTGATAGCACTTTCTTGGTGCTATATCCTTTCCGATAGCACTTTCTTCAAAATGTCTTCATCAAAGTTTCTGATATGAGTTGTATCTTTTTTCAAAGTGGAGCAGATATGGTCTATTCATAGCGGAATTGATTTTGAATGTTGACATAGAAGAGGATGGAATCCAGCAAATCTACTCTAGGGTTTGAGAACAATCTAGAGAGAGAACCTGCAAATAAAGGAGAATCGTGGTTCAACAATGGGGAAGACAAAGGCGTTGTGAGAGAGAGATCGTGTTGAGAGAAATAAGATACTATGCGGTGAGTTTGGGAGAGAATAAACTGAAAGAATTAGAGAGAGAAATATTAGACAGCATATTTAATGGCTTAACGGTAGGAAGTGACAATAAATACATATTTTTGATATAAAAACTAAAAGGTAGCTATAGAATATAATATTTTAAAAGGGTTTTTATTTATAATAAATAGGGTGTAAACATTTGCTATAGGAGGTAAAATTTTCTTGGCGCATCGCACATAGTTTTAACCCGCCAATCACACCACCCAACCTTAATTAAGAATCAGAGAAGCACTATTATGTTAGGTCGTAATTGACTAATTGTCCTTAGGTATTAGTCATTGTAGGGTGGCAAATGGGCGGGTTGAGCTAAATTTGGGCGGGTCAAGATGGGTTAGGTCAATAAATGGGTCATTGCCCAATCCAGCCCAAAGTGTGCTTGGGTTAAGATGGGTTGAGTCAAGATGGGCTAAACAATGGGTCATAACCCAACCCGCCCAACCTAACCCATGTTTTAGAACCATGCTCATCTTTCATAAAAAAGTCTTTTACCTTAAAATGTGTAGGTTAAAAATATTTTGCGGGTGGAGGGAGGGGGAGTTGGGGTG